GTTTCATTTGGACATGAGTGTAACCAAGACTTTTACAACTTGCACTCTGGTAAAGTTTCTCTCACTGTCCCGATCTTTCTCTGAGTGTCAGTCTGTGTCCCTTGTGTATTCTCACTGGGCATCTGTCCCTTTAAGAGTGTGTCCTTTCACGGAGCTGCTAAATCTGGCACAGGTCCGTGTGTGTAGCGTTACCAGCCCTGCGCGATCTGATGCTGATTATGACACTCAGACATTAGGCCTTATTCCACCCATGCATTATCAGCTCAATCTGAATCAGCAGTGCCAGCCAAAACACACACGGCTCAGAAATGTATAAATGATGCACACAGAAAATCCTAGCCAAAACACACTTCAACTGGTCCAGGAACTCATATCGAGCTGATTCAACACTACCTGTTACACACCAGCTGAAAATTTGACATGAGTTAGATTTAATGGTGCTGGATTTGACAGCATTTTACAATGATTTCTCGATAAATATCAGAGCTATTCGTCAAGAAAAACTGTCCAGAACTTGATTTTATCCATCAGGATTTGTGGACGTTTTATGCACCAAAAATGGAGCCAGATCTGAATGGTAGTTTGTGAAAACAATAGCTTTTTAGCTATTCGGTTAGCATTAGCCAATAGCCTACCTGGCCTCGATGACATCAGTCATGATCAGTGGAAAAGAAATGGATTTAGATGTAAAAGTAAAACCATTAATAATTCACAATGAAATGTGCAGTTAGACAACACTTTGCAACACTATGACCCCTAGCTAGTGATTGTAGAGCACCCACTCTTTCCATTTCTGGTGTGTATACGCTACAAACCAATGCATCATTTGTGGTGGTTAAATCTGCAGTTTATATTAAATGCACACATACTTGTTAATTCTTCGGGTTGTTTGAGCAGTGTATGGATGGAGGTTTGACCGGGGCAGGGGAGATCAGGCCAGGTGGAGCCCAGGTGTGAGTGAGTTCAGTGAGGGCAAGATGCAGGGTGTGCCAGGGGTCAGCTGGAGCTCTCACATCACGCTAACACAACAAAACCACACCATGCATCACAACACACACACAACCGGAGATGCTTTCACTCACAAACACACGGTTTTATGTCATCCTCCCCCTAGTTTGAACCTTTTCCCTCTCAGGGTTGAATGAAGGGCAAAGAATGAAAAGCTTGTCTATTCTACCTGTCTTTCAAATTAGTGCCTTTAGAGGCATTGCTAACTTTCCAGAGTAGCTTTATGAATTTTAAGAAAAATTCTTGACTTTTAAAGAGACAGAAGCTTTGTTCCAAAACCTAGTGAGCTGCCTTCATAGACCGCATTTAAAGGCATTATAATTATGAGGGGAAAAAAGACAATTATGACATAAAAAGTAAATATTTTGGATAAAAATGTTAAATTATGAGATGTCAATTATGAAACTTTATGACTTTATCATACTTTTTACTTTTAATCCCATTTCAACATGTCTTTTTATATCAATCTGGACTATCATAAATATTACTTTTATGTCATAATTATGATTTGGCATGTCATAATTTCAACTTTTTATTTTATAATTGTCTTTTATGTCATGATTATGACTTATCTCATAATTTCCACTGTCATAATTGTCTTTTTATGCCATAATTTTGATTTAGCATTTCATAATTTCAACTTTTTATTTTATAATTGTCTTTTATGTCATGATTATGACTTATCTCATAATTTCCACTGTCATAATTGTCTTTTTATGCCATAATTTTGATTTAGCATTTCATAATTTCAACTCGTTATATTATAATTGTCTTTTATGTCAAGATTATAACTTTTTATCTTATAATTGTCTTTAAATTTTGACCTCATCATTTCAACTGTTATTATTATTATTATTTTTTATCTCATAATTTCAACTTTTTATCTTATATTTGTCTTTTTTGTCATGCTTATGGCTTATCCTATAATTTTGACTTTCATAAATGACTTTTTATGCCATTATTATGATTTGGCATCTCATAATTTCAACTTTTTATCTTATAATTACGTCTTTTATGTCATGATTATAATAATTTCGATTGCCCAGTAAGCAGTATAGGGCTAGTTTCGTGTGGAGAATATTTTACCATTTTTAACATCTTGGTCAAAACTTAAATTTTTCACACTTCAAATCTATTTTTTAACACTTGAAGCTCATCTTGGACCCTCACTTGACGAGGCAGTCCCTATGTTGGGGGCCCCAGACGCTCGCATACCTCCCACTTTGAGGTTACTGAGCACTTGTGAAGAGTAGACCGGCTGTGTTCGTAAAGATTTATCACTTACACAGACTCACTCCCTACATGTTCTTCCTCTCACACTCCCTCTCTTCTTCTACCTCTCCTCTCACTTTGCCGTTAGACCTACAGCCTTCTGTTGCCCTCCCGTCTATTTGCTTTGTCTGCGTAACATTTATCAGTTCATCTCCTCCAGGCCAGGCCTCTCGTATCTGTTACACCACCTGATCTCCCTCTGCGTACACGTCCATCTGTGCTGCTATGACGACTGTCTGTAACCACTGCGACCTGTCACCCTCACACACACAAATCACAACTGTAATGTGACCACCAAACGCTACACGCTTAGAAAGACTCATCCATATATACAGACACACACAGACACAACATTTTGAAGCTGTTGCGAACACTGATTTTAGAGGAAGCATTAGCATGCGCATTAGCAGGAACAGCTAAAAATTGTTTATATTTGCACTAAAGAAGTATTTATGATACTGTGTTTATCAGATTGTATTGCAGATAAAGACAATCTTGGCTGTATTTGATTAATACACTATATGATACAGCTAAAGCTACATTGAGAATATCCAAGATGGTCGCCAAATATGGCTTGGGATTTGTTGTATGACTTTCCTAAGAAAACCGTATCACAATTCATACTTTAATGTCATATCTTATCTTATTTCTAAGCAAGTAGGGATGGTTTCAGGGTGGTCAACTAGTCATCCAACAACCAACCAGTCAATTAGTTTGGTTAAAGTGTAGAGTTAAGGCCTTCAACTTTGTCTAATAATAAAACACACTTTTATCTCTAAATAGTTTGGTTTTTGTTCACTGGAAGACAAATGCCCCTTAAAGTCTGCGTGAACCGGATGTTGTGTCCGACTTTACTTCAGTTTTGTGACATTTTCTGAGTGAAACAGAATATTGAATGAGAAAAATAGAGGACGTGGCTTGTTTTTTCCCCACTGGATATTGATTGAATCCAGAAAAGTAGGCGTTCCCTTTTTGTGTGTGTGGATTGACTTGCACGATAAAATGGCACGATAAATTGCGCTAACAAAGTAAATAGGGTTCATTTTGATTTCACGCCGACTTTACGAAACCATAGCCATAGCCGTTTCTGAATAAATATTCTGCCATTTGGCTTGTTTTCACAAAATGCTATGAAAAAACATCAAACCAATGATAAATTTAACACTTTTTATATTTATATTAAAATAGCATTATTACATTAACAATAATTTCCATCAAAACAAATAACAATTACTCTTTTATACCTTTTATAAATAAGTTACGTAAAAAGCCAGAAGAGAAATGCATAATTTACAAACAGTTATTTTATAGCTTTACAAGATTCCAGAAGCAGTTGAATGCACAGACAAACATTTGGGAACAGCAGGCATAAAATGACAGAGCACTCCATACCGCCCCCTACAGGATGGGAGTATTTCACTGTAACCTCATTACAGCCATAGATATCCATAATAAAGGCTAGATGTCTCGTCCGCGCTGCTGGCCAATGGAGGTCGACGTCCGCATCTGGCGGCCATCTTGTCACAGGCAGCTCGCTCACTCGTAACATTGTGTTTTAATGGTGCATGTACTTTTTAAATAACCACAACTTGCTCAATTTTCTACCGATTTTCAAGCGGTTTGGTTTGTTATAAACGTCAGAGATGTAGTTATGACACTGCACACTTATGAATAATAAGTGTATAAATAAATAATCATCCAGAATTATAGCCACGTTAATAACGTTTGTAAGAAACCAAACCGTTTGTACATCCGTCAAGATTTCAACGAGATAAGAGTATTTGTGTTCGTGCTGATCACTCATCTTACATCAGGCGCCACAGAGCCTTGCCTGTGACAAGATGGCCGCCGGTGATGACGATAGAGACTCCGCCGTAAGACATCTAGCCTTTATTATGGATATCTATGATTACGGCTAAACACAATCTTCTTGTTTTCATATAAATATTGAATTAGGAACTATTTGACCGTGCATCTACCAACATGCGAACATTTAGTGCTTTCAGCACCTAATATTTGATAATCTCCAGTGTACGATATTCCAGTGTTTTTGCACTAATTAAATATTGTGCATGATACTGAGAGATCCTTACAAGAAAGTACTGAGGCGGTACCATGGTATCAGATTGACTACCATATTCATTTACCATGGTATATATATGGTACTCCAAAGTACTTCAATGAATACCATTATATTACCATGGTACATGTTCAAAAAACTACTTTGTAAGTGCTTTTACTCCTCGATTTCATATCTAGCCAGCTGATATTTTGCCATTTAATAAACTTGGAGTGTTTAAGTAGCTTGAAAAATTTACAGATTATACGTTTTGAGATGAATTTGTAAAAGTTATTTGTATTTTATACTTTTCTGGAAGTCCTGAGCTTCATTTCCCCAGTTGTTTTGCTCTTTGAGAGTCCAAATTCAAAGTCCTTAGATATATTCCAGTTTCAACTTCTTCCATTCGCTATTCCAGCAGTTCCTCCAGTGGATAAATAGTCCAGTTGTCTTCCAACCCAACCACCAGTGGGGTCTACATCATTCATTGGCAATTGAAGGCTACTTTGACTTTCCCCAAGTAGCTAATCACTGATTTGAGCCAGATCCTTGGCCAACCAGTGGTTCAAGTCAATATTGCACCGCATTTGGCAGTTGTTGAGCTGAATGAAGCGTATCTGGCAGACCGTAATTGTGTTGTGTTTTAAATACAGTCTCGCTATTTGGCAGGCTGTGTTTGTGTCTGTATGGAATCCCTTTTAAGTCCATGCTTACAGGATATCCTGAGTACGGCCAGCTCCCGTAGTGCGAAGATCGCAGGACTCCTACGACTGCAATGGCTGATGGGAAATGTAGTTCATGGGAGCTTATTTGGCAAAGATCAAAGACATTTCCAGTTATTATAAAAAGATTTCCAGTGTGTCTCTGCTATATCCTGTGTGTCTCCACCCTGACTCTCAGCTTTGTGGTTGCTCCTGGGACTTTGGCAGCAATTCAGAGTCTTTGGTCTTCTTCAGGACATGACCCTGTTAGAGGATAGAGATTAATTAGATTGATTAGATTTCACATTAAAATTTAAAAGTTTGGGGAAAGCTGCAGTGTGTCATTTCCGCACCACTAACGTTATCAATCTGAATTGCAATCTATTGAGCGTTCTCATCCAACGAGGTCTAAAACATAAAAATATTAATATTTTTGCAATTCTCTCTGGTGACTCTAGTTATGCAGAAATGACACAATTCAGCTGCAAATCACCAATAACCATACTATAATATTAGCATTACATTATCATCGCTCTCATGGAGGCCTTGCTCATCCTCTTCCGATGTTTCCGCCGTCGCTTCCGCGGGGGCTGGGGAGGGGGCGGAGTCTGTGGGGCTGAGGGGGTGGTGGGAGGAGCGCTCGGCACTATGGGATAATGAAGAAAACAGAAGACAAATGGAATGCGTTAGGAGGGTTTTAGGATCAGCGATGAAACATTAACCTCATGGTAGCCATCATAATATTAGCATCACATTACTTTGTTGACCCTTGACTTTATATGCTACCTCTGACGTTAAAGAAATGGAAAGAATAACAGGAAGCATAAGTTACTAATCACAACACAATGTGTACACACACACACACACACACACACTGACTCGATAGACAATCTAGACACTGACCTGTTTTTTGTGTGCTGGTCTGTTGTTGGCTGACTGCTTGCGTTGTAAGTTGGTGAAGCTGATGGTGTCGGTGGTTTTGGTGACGAAGATGATGTTGTGTTTCTGGCTGCTGCTCCCTTTCCTGCATATTTTGATTATTTGCTTCTGATTGGTGGTGGTGGTGGTGATGTTTTCTAACTTCTGATTGGTCAGAGTGATGACTTAGCACTTCAGATAAACCACTGGATTGGCCGATCACCTCAACGTGGCTGTAAGTGCTAAAAGTGTCTAATTGGCTACTGTGTGGCATGCTGTGCCCTGATTGGAGGGGATTGTGGGAAGCATTGTATTTTGGTTGCTGTGGTGTCGTTTTATCCTGTGGTTGCTGTGGTTCTGGCTGTTGATCATCTTGCAGATGTTTGTCGTAATGCTGTTGCGTCTTTTTCGCCATGCTTTCGCCACTGTGTTCGGATTTCACCTCCTCAGTTTGTGTAGCGTCACTCATCATGTGTGGATTTCCTAATGTGGTTTGTCTGGTGGGAACATCTCCTCCGCTCACATAAACTGCTGTGTGTGTGAGTGTATGTTGGTACGGGCTTTGTCGGTAGCCCTGTGTGTGTGTGACGGTGTTTTTGGACTGCCATTGTAGTTCCTGACTCTCTTTATCCTCCAAATGGAGCCTTTGATTATGTTTAAGTTCGTCATGGCGATGTAGTTCCTCTTTTGATTGGGTCTTTGGTGCCGTTACTTTAGGGTGGAGTCTGGGCGGAGGAAGAGGTGTGGTCTGGAGCCGTGGGCTGAGCGCCAAAACGCGTGATTGACAGCTACAAGTCAAATGGTCCTCCACGGGTATGACAACCTTCTCATAGACTGGTTGTCGGTTGATATACTGGATTTTCGTCATCTAGACAAACAAAAAGAGATATCAAAATAATTTCTGAACACAAGAACACTGTTCCATTTCTAATTAGATTTAACAATTTTTATGTAAGCATGTTGCTAAGCTAACAATGCGAAACACTAATTCGCATAAAAATACACAGTATAAATTTGGGGTGAAATAGTCAATTTCTAATTAGACTCCACTATTTTCATGTTAGCATGTTGCTAAGCTAAAAATGTGATACACTAATTACAGTGTTGGGGAGTAGCTAACTACAAGTAGCGACGCTACTAACTAACATTTTCAGTAGCTTGTCAGTGGCTTTTAAAACAGTGTAGCTTTTCCAGTGGCTAACTACTTTTTACAGCAAGTAGCGGTTTATCACGACCAAAAGCTACACTTCGGTTTGCGCAATGGATTGAAGCAGCACAACGTCATCTTCTTATTAGATTACAAACTAAAATTGTGCTTTACTGCCATCTATTGTTTCATCGCGCATCTTGTGGCTTTACGGTTATTGAGAAGAGATCGTCTGATGATTATGTAAAGGAAGTACAGGAGTGGGTTGATATCTCACATGAATCGACTAGTAAAGGTTTGCAAGTAATTTTTGCAAACTATAGATTAAAACACTATCTGCGTTGAAGACTTCAATCACATACAGTCGAATAATTGCCTTTGTAAATTGATTAATTATCCTGCTTTATTGCACTCTGTATCAAATGTCTATTTCTGATTTTACAATGACCCGCCGTAGTTTAATCCGTCCCAGCACAGCTTTAGCAAAGCATCTGTCATTGATCTGTCAATCTGTCATCTGTCCGCACTTATGACACGGCATAAAAACATATATTTTGGGTAAATATCATATTTCTAATTAGACTTAACTATTTTCATGTTAACAAGCTAAAAATATAATACACTAATGAGCATAAAAATACACAGTACACAAAAATATTGGGTAAAATAGTGTATTTGTAATTAGATTTAACCATTTCTATGTTAGCATGTTGCTACACTAACAGAGTGATGAAGTGACGAATAAGTATACAAATGTAGTACACACAAATACTGGGTAAGATAATATACTCGTTTTTTTTAATTGACAATTTAAGGTATTGAATGAAATATTAGTACATTTTTAGTTTTAAAGTCCCCCTGTGGTGAAAATCAAGTTTTTAATGTTGTTTATATGTCTATGTGGTGCTTTTAATGTGCTTTAAGACAAACCATGTGCAAATTCATCAGTCAAAACCATTGTTGAGTGTTTTCTCCTTAAAACTGGAGTGACCAAAAACGCGGTTTGAAATCGCTGGTGTTTCTGACGTCACAAACTACCTTGTAACCAATCAGGTCAACGTGTGATCGTCAACCAGTGGATCTCTGAGCTGGCGTGAGTGAGTGGAGGCGGGGCTCATTTGCATATTCATAGAACCGCGTATACTTAATGAGGCAAGGATGTAGATTCACATTCAAGCTATTTTGAAACATTACAAAAAAAATCCAAGGAAAAAACTTTTAAATATGTAATTTTGGTGATCAAAGATTAGTTTTAAGGGATACAATTATTGACTACGGGGGACTTTAAGATATCTCTTAACTCTTGACCACCATCTTGTTGGATTAATTTTTTTCACAGATCGAATTTTGCCAAAAGAAATCTTTTAAAGGCATTATTATAGTGCCGTATAATATATTTTAGAATACTTTGCTGTTGTTCAAAAAGGGCTAAAGAGTCATTACAACTGTAAATGTTGTAAACTTGCAAATGAATACCTGTAATTGTCGTGTTTCAATGGTGACTGGCATGCATTGTACAGTGCGTGTGTTACAGCAGCCTGAACAGCGCTGCACTTCCACACACGGAGGCCATAACAGGAAGTTGGCGTTCCGTCGGTCCAGCATCGCACGGGTCACTTCCATCACTTCTGTTCTCACCTTGCACATGGCCTGCTGGGCCACCTGAACACCTGTGAGAGAGAGACAGTGAGTTGATTTAACGTTTATACTCTATCATTCCCACATTGCAGAAGCCAACCTGGATGGAAGTTAGACAAACCAGACTAACAAGACTACAGACACACACTATAATTCACCCTCTCAGCTCTGTCAGAGTGTGTTTGTGTGTACAGATTCGAGGCGCACTTGACTGAAAGTGAGCACTCAAGAGAGAGAGAAATAGATCGAGTACATGTGCGAAATAAGCGTGGGTGGTAAAATTGAGCTTTGAAACTTGTGTGTGTGTGTGTTTGAGGGTGACCTAAGGACATGTGGCGAGACAGAATCAATCATAGAGACGCAACAGCAGACTCCAGGCTCATATACGCACATCTCACACACTCGCACAAACACACAACAAAGCCACAACACCATTGTGGAATGGAGATGCCACAGTGTCTGAAAATAATCGCCACAGACTGGAAATATATTGAAATTCTGCAAGAGGACAAAGATGAAGAGACGGGAGTGTGGAAAAGAGACAAAGAGAGGAAGGGAGGGAATGCTAGAAGACTTACTAAGGCTTCTGGGAAGACGTTTGTGTGTTCCGTTAGAGTGCATCTCACTCTCGGGTATCTCATCGTCTTCCTCTGAAAATGAAAGACAAAATGAAGGAGTGATTAAAAAATATGAAACATCGCTCAGCAATTTGGGTAGTTAGTTGACTTTAGTTATCTTATAGTTATCTATTATTTTTCTTGATGTGATCAGGCCTTTCGTCTGGTCTAGGAATGTACAGATCTAGATACTTTCAAAATATTACTTGTATATGGTTTATTTTCTCCATTTTCTTCTCATTTTCTTGTACTTTTGAATTTCAGTATTTTTGTTTTTCAGTATTTTCAGTATTGAATTTCAGTATTTTTAGTAAAGACTGGGTTTTTTTTGCATCTTTTTTTTATTTTTTTATCAGGATGAAGGACTAAGGACATATATTTTCACCTGTTGGAAAGATACTTTAGTTATGTAGTGTAAAACTAAAAATACACCCACTCAGACTGTGAGTATAAGTGACCAATCACAGTCCGCTTTTTTCATATTACACTATACGCTGTTTGTTGCAATGTGAACCTGTACATATGACTGCATTTCAGTTGCGCAACTGTGCTTTGTCTCTGCGTTTGTTTGTGTCTCTGTATGTCTCATACTAAAGACCTGAAATTGCCATTTGAATCCTCTTGATTCCACTCTCCTGACATCTTGTCGTAAATCTGATCAAGGCCTGTCAATCTGTGACTGGTATTATAGTCCTCATAGTAAGGGTTAGAACATTGTTAAAGCTGGCTAAAATGCACGCACACATACATAAACAGAGGATTCTGGTATAGGGAACAATAGTGTAGCCTTGTGTTTGTATCCCTTCTGTAAACTTAGAGCTGGACTGGGCTCAAGGTCACTGCTATTGTGCCTGTGAGGGGCTATACATGGCCCATTCATGTAAATATTACCATTATCCACATGCACACACACACACACACACAGCATTCCAGACCCCTCACTCTTTCCTGCCTCACCTTCCCACTTCAGCACACCCCAGAAAACACACACATTCCACAAATGACGAGACGTTTACTTGTTTGAAGTAGTTCTGATATGGGGTTTTCAATGACTGATGATTATGTAGAGAGTAAGGCAGCCAATGCACGATAAAAAGCCAATATGTAAAAGAATAAATAACTATGCAACCAAATATACTATGCAACCAAATTTCATAAGTGTCATTTGCAATGAGTATAAAGTAAATGCCAAAATTTGTGTACACACTAAAAAAATGTGTATATATTTTTTATAAAATCTTTGCTTTTCAAATATTTACTGGTGATTCTGGAAACATTTTGGTCAGATATTGTATTATCTCGTGTATATATATTGTATTATTTCATATACATATATAAATAATGTGAATATGGCAATATCCGAAATCCTTGTCCTTGTGGGGAAAACAGCTTTTAAATCATGCACAATGTTTTTCCAAAATGTAAAAATGCAGAATGTTTTCTGTGATGGGTAGGGTTAGTATAAGGGGATAGAATATACAGTTTGTACAGTATAAAAATCATTGTCTATGGAAAGTCCCCGTAAAACATTGTATGGTATCTGTTAAAGGTATGGGATCAGCTTTACCTACGGATTCTACGTCTAGAAGTCTCTTCAGATCATCTACGGATGAGATCGGGCTGTTCATCACTAAATCCACCAGAGATGGAGGAAGAGGGTCACCCTTATGAAGAAAGAGAAAGAGAGAGAGAGAGAGAGATGGTCAAACAGGTTTCTGAACAGACACTCACCTGTCTGGGTCTGAATTTCAATAACACACACACACATCCATGTCTAGCCGACGTATTGAGTGCAATAACAGACACCTGGCTGAGCACAGACATACGGCACGTGGTGCAGAGTTACAGAGAGCATGTGTGGAGAGTCGCTGTCCTTTATTAAGCTGCATTACTCATAATCAGGTCAGTGTGTGTGTGTGATGTGGTCAGTGTCATGTGGCCGACACACAATGGGAAAATAAATACATAAATAAAACATATTGCCATTACCAACCATCCATTTTTCACCTCCTTATATATATATATATACACTCACCTAAAGGATTATTAGGAACACCTGTTCAATTTCAATATCAACCAATCACATGGCAGTTGCTTCAATGCATTTAGGGGTGTGGTCCGGGTCAAGACAATCTCCTGAACTCCAAACTGAATGTCAGAATGGGAAAGAAAGGTGATTTAAGCAATTTTGAGCGTAGCATGGTTTTTGGTGCCAGACGGGCCGGTCTGAGTATTTCACAATCTGCTCAGTTACTGGGATTTTCACGCACTACCATTTCTAGGGTTTACAAAGAATGGTGTGAAAAGGGAAAAACATCCAGTATGCGGCAGTCCTGTGGGCGAAAATGCCTTGTTGATGCTGCTAGAGGTCAGAGGAGAATGGGCCGACTGATTTAAGCTGATAGAAGAGCAACTTTGACTGAAATAACAACTCGTTACAACCGAGGTATGCAGCAAAGCATTTGTGAAGCCACAACACGCACAACCTTGAGGCGGATGGGCTACAACAGCAGAAGACCCCACCGGGTACCACTCATCTCCACTACAAATTGGAAAAAGAGGCTACAATTTGCAAGAGCTCACCAAAATTGGACAGTTGAAGACTGGAAAAATGTTGCCTGGTCTGATGAGTCTCGATTTCTGTTGAGACATTCAGATGTTAGAGTCAGAATTTGGCGTAAACAGAATGAGAACATGGATCCATTATACCTTGTTACCACTGTGCAGGCTGGTGGTGGTGGTGTAATGGTGTGGGGGATGTTTTCTTGGCACACTTTAGGCCCCTTAGTGCCAATTGGGCATCGTTTAAATGCCACGGCCTACCTGAGCATTGTTTCTGACCATGTCCATCCCTTTATGGCCACCATGTACCCATCCTCTGATGGCTACTTCCAGCAGGATAATGCACCATGTCACAAAGCTCGAATCATTTCAAATTGGTTTCTTGAACATGACAATGAGTTCACTGTACTAAAATGGCCCCCACAGTCACCAGATCTCAACCCAATAGAGCATCTTTGGGATGTGGTGGAACGGGAGATTCGTGCCCTGGATGTGCATCCCACAAATCTCCATCAACTGCAAGATGCTATCCTATCAATATGGGCCAACATTTCTAAAGAATGCTTTCAGCACCTTGTTGAATCAATGCCACGTAAAATTAAGGCAGTTCTGAAGGCGAAAGGGGGTCAAACACAGTATTAGTATGGTGTTCCTAATAATCCTTTAGGTGAGTGTATATATTATAATTTACAGTTAAATACAGTGTACTGCTGTTCAGACCATTTACAAACAACAATTATGCTATTATTAATAAACTCATTAAAGGGAATGTCATTAAAAAGTTTGATATATATATATATATATATATATATATATATATATATATATATATATAGACAAGTGATAGATTTTTTTTTTAGTCGAAGGGTTGAAGTCCTTGAAACTCTATTTTTACTTACCAGAACGCAATTTTTATCCCCCGGTACGCGCGTGGGCTATTTTTGGCAGTGATTGGGCAGGTTTTGAATAGCAATTGGGCTGGTTTTGTTACGCAAAACTGGCAACCCTGCTGTAGATATTGGCATCAGCCATTGAAAAACCCTTATACCATGATCTGTCTGAATACTTGATTCTGATTGACTGGAAGGTGTGCAATAAAACCATAACTATAATCGATTCATTCATTCAAATAAACGTAATCTGCCGCACTGCTTTATCTCTGTGTCTGATTCAAAGCGGGCAGAATATGCTAGATCTAACTGACGGAAATACCCTTCTTGTCTGCGCTGCAAACATCAATAACAGCATTAAGTTGTCAATGTTGGCAAATGACCATGGTATAAACGGGATAATCCACGGCTAGCTGTGCATTAAACGATTTTAATGCACTTTGTTGAAATTGTTTAATGCGCAGCTAGCTATTATCCCTTACATATCGCATGACCACAAATAAAAATAGGCTATACTGTCATTTTTAATTTCGCAAAGTTTCTAACCATTAATTTAAACTAAGCAAAATTGTCTCATTCAACAAATGTTACGGTATGATGTCACTACCATAAATGTGACAATACAGTCTTACAACAATTCGTAACCATTTTGATATTCCGAGAGGTAGGTTTATAAATTGAACTTCAAACTTTGTACGCGATTGCACACTTGCAAAACAGCCACATTTTCTTGTGCAATCAGGTTGGAAAGTGAATGCTTGTGTATCTATGTCAGATAGATGTTTAAAATGTGTGCGAAATACGAACGTAATCTATTCATAACTCACTTATGTGATGCATTCTCAATGTGGCCACAAGGGGCACTATTACTAGACCTTTTGTAGCCCCGCTCCCTTTCTGTCTTCCGGTTTTTATTTCCAAAGCATGAAGGAAGGATCTTACAGATTTATTAATGAACCGCTCGTTTTAAAATCTTCCCGGTCTACTGACATTTGTTCCACTTCAAATGTTACAATGCTCATGATAACTTTCGTTAACTCTACAATAAGTAAATCCACTTCACTAGCTAATTACTCTTTGACAGTGATGCCATAGAAATATACAGAGCTACTGCAAAAACTGAAGTTCAAACACAATATTTTAAAGATGGCTGCGCGCTTGTTTCTCTAGTGCATAGGTTCTATGGGTCATAAATACAGTGACAGTCAGTCATCTACAGTCAGTTATGTTTTTCCAAGTCAAATACAGTAATGGCGGAGTGACAGTTTGAAGAAAATATCACTGAGCAAGCAATCATAACAAGAGGATTTACATATATATAACCCCTCAGGTCCTACTCGCCCTGCTTTGTGCGGGCCTTGAACCCGGTTCTCCAGCGTGGGAGGCGGGTGCTCTAACAAGGAGGCTAAACACTTCAGTCTCTAATGTCAGTCTACTCTTACTAGCTGGCCTCCGTTACATATAGAAACCTTAAAGGTACAGTACCAATAACCTTATTCATTTAAGAATTGGGGGAATGGGGTACAAAAACAGTCACGGAAAACCAAATTATGACTGTATCTGGTGCAAAAATCCCCCTAAAGGCCCGTTCACATCAAGAACTATGACTAAAAAGTTAACTGTAACAATAACTAGTGTCCAAATGCTCAATAACGTTCCATTTATTATAAACGCACAGCAGTTTTATTGTCCTGCCACTTTAAATGCTCAAGCTCTTTAGAGTCAGCTAGATTCTGATTGGCTGTCAATATTTTTATCATTCATCAGCTGAAAAAATATATAATTCTTAAAGTGTCGTTCCTCTCTGACACTATCGTTATAATTGTGGTGTAAACTCTGCGATTCTATTCTATTCTGCGATTCTGTGATTCTAATACCTGTGAAGAAGTGCATGTCAGTGTGAAACACGCATAAAGTAAAGCAGTGTATCACCCACTGTCAAGTGTGTGTGAGTAGCGCTGTAACATCTACTGATCCCATTAGGATGACATCACTCCCATTTGCCACATGCTATAATGAATCATGGGATGCAGGAATGCCAATCGTTCATCCAGGGGAAAAGTTGAGGAGGAATGGGGTGTAATTATCGACCTGGATTGCTATACACACACACACACACACACACACACACACAAAACGAAACTTTATAGGCCGGCCACATGGCAGTCAGCCATTACGGAGTTCAGACATAAAGAAATACTGTATCCATGGAGTGACACCCACACCTGCACATACACATAGGTCGAATAAACAAATGTATTGAAAGAAGGATGAAAAGAGCGGGATTAGATTTTAAAAAAAAAGTCTGAGCAAGCTTCAATAATCATGCTTACATAGAGAGAGCTAGATTAAGTATTATATGAAAGGATAAGCACAAGCACAATAAGGTCGATCCATCTTCCCATTTTCCAAAACGGAGTCATTAATTCGATGCACATCGGAGCACGCTCTTCTCAGGTGTTCGGCTCGGCTTTCATTCGCTTGAATCCTGAGTCATGTCTGCAAAAGCAATTTCGATTTTTTTTTAATCCCTCGGGCCGTGACACACGTCTAATGAGAGCAACTCAAAGCCCAATCATCTTATGCGATTCCATCCACACGTCTGTACAGTGCCGCCTAGATTATTCCTCTCTTATATAACTTAAACACAAGACTTATGATGCATCAGCTGGAGGACCAAAATCCCATCAGCTGTGACCTTTTAAACTCCGAATCGAGTGCTCTGTTTTAGAGGGTAGGCCTAACATAAGGTTTATGGGTTTTTTTTGTAGGTTTGGCGATGATGCAATGGTTATATTCAAGAGACGGATTACAGAAACATCACAAGGGGATTTAGGTCTTATAGTGTGTGTGTGTGGATGGCAATTGATGTTCATGTCATAAAGACCTTTTCATAAAGGTCAGGACACATATGTGAGAATATCTGCAACCCAAATCAAGATACATTAATGACTCTGCTGAATCTGTTCTGAGAACGGATGGTTTTGAACTTTTTTCCCACAATTAACGAATTTTCCGTCTTTTATGACGGAACGCTTCTCCTCCATGGACTGAATTTTCCTGTAATCAATGTTTTCATTGTTAAGCAATGTGTCCACTAAAGCGTTTTTAGCCAGTTGACAACGCTGGCGCCGGCGAAGCGTTTTTTTTTTTTCAGTTGAGACGCTATTTATGATGCGTAATATCCGCAGAACTGTTACTAGTATCTGATTTGGCAAATAGTTTGTTTCTGAATATAAAACATTTTGACAAAATTTGACGTGCTTGCTCTAGCACAAGTTTTGGTTGAAGAGATGTGCTTGTTGTTGTCATTGTACAAGCAGGATGTGGCAATTGGTCAGTGTTGTATTTGCCCCGCCCCTCCTCCACTGTGATTGGACGGATGAGTAAAAAGTGACGAGTGCTGTTTTACCCAAAGTTGAACATTCTTCAACTCTCAGCGACTGGTAAAAAAAAAACCAGCCTTGTAACGCTGCGGGCGTTTTAAAAATGTGGCGCCTCCATTGAAAACAATTGGAAAAATACGCTAGCCTCTGAAAAAAAAACGTTATGGTGAACACTCGGCCTTAGGCTCTGAGCGTTTATTTCACGCTGAACACTAAGTGCTCAGTGTTTTTTACTGGTCGACGAGAGTTGAAGAATGTTCAACTTTGGGTAAAACAGCGCTAGTCACTTTTTACTCAGCCGTCCAATCACAGTGCAGGAGGGGCGGGACAAATACCATACTAACCAATCATCACATTCCGCTTGTACAACGATAACAAACGACAACAACAAGCACATCTCATTGTCTTCATCCAAAACGAGTGCCAGGGCAAGTATGTTGCATTGTGTTGACATTTTTAAATTCGGAAACAAACTATTTGCGAAATCAGATAACAGTTCTGTGGATATTCCGTATCATAGTACATATAGCGTCTCAACTGAAATGCAACTGAACTCAACCTTCTCAAATGCCCACAGCAAGACGTTTTCAGCAGAGCACTGGCTAGCTTTGATGGACACATGGCCTTATACAGTAGGAGGCGCTATGACATCTTCTGAACGAGTGCAGAATCTTTGGAGAAAAACACAAGCGAAAAAGAGGCAGAAACAAGCGATAGAAGCATAGCTTTTGCACATGTAAAATAACGTGATTAAACAGCATTTAAATCAAAACTGCTTTATGTTACTGAATGAAATTGTTGACCCAGGAAGATGTGTAGGACTGTGAAGCTTTGTGAACTCAATCTACTCCATCTAACGTTATGTTTTTAATCATCGTTCTGAATATGATCCGGAAAAAGTCTTTGACAAAACACGATTTTCTCAGGTTTTTGTTCAAAATTGTGCTTTTTTTTGTTAAACTTAACCACATTCAAGCGTTGATTAAAAAAAAAAAAGTATGCATAAAGCTTGTTCCAGTCTGGATATTCTCAATATTACATCTCAAAATTGGGAAGATGATTGTTGGCATCAGGGATCGTGATTGTTTGTTATAAGATCGTCATATGAAATTTTGAGAAGATCGCCCACCTCTAATTTAAATACAGAAAATGTGCACTATCCATTGATGATGGGGCAGCCAAATATCAACTGATATATACCGTTTTATTTTTTTTATTGTTACCAGGACCACACCAATGAATGTCTATGACTTGGACTACTGAATAAGCTTTTTTTTTATTATTCAGCCTGACTCACTAACAAATAATTTATAGAGATTTGCGAATCGGTCTGTCTGATATCAAACGATTAAAAAATAATTTTCGTTGAAACCTTAATCAGACTCCACTATGACTTTTGATTAAGTTGTCGAACATTTTCTATTTGGACTTTTAGTCTGGAAAATACAATTTCAAGTTCCACTCATAAAAATAAAGTTTCTTTATTGGCATTTATGGTTCCATCAAGAACTTTCAACATCCATGGAATGTTCACATCACTGAAAGGTTCTTTGAGGAACCAAAAACCCCATTATTCTATGGCATCACTGAAAGAAGAATAACCGTTCTATGACCTTTATTTTTAATAGTGTACAGAGGACCTTCTATAGGAACTCACAGCACTATTTTAATACGGCTAAAGGCGTACTGTAGTGTTAAATGGACAACATAATTGGGTTTTAAGCCGTGACAGTGATGCTCTTGGACTGAGTGATGGTTTTGGCAGTGGATCATCTGGGAATCCATCCAATGCACATTAATGCTGGCAACACGAACTGTGGATTTGTTTGAGTTTAGAATTGCAGACATAAACAAATACAGATAGATTAAGCATCAAATCTAGTAGAGTTTCTCTGTTATCGGGGTCCTGAAGGGTGGGGGCCCTCCACTTTGCGGCCAAAATACGCAGTCAGGCGTGCTTATGAGGGCATTTGTTACAGTTTGCTTAAATTTCATCCTCGAAATCAAGACAGTTAAAAGTGATCTGTGAATGCAGCTATTGTTAAATGAGACATATAAATTAAACTCCAGCAGAGACAGAGAAACCGAGCGTGACGTCAATCAGGTGAAGCTTACCTGCGCGCGACCAGACCGCAGGCACGCCGCGAGCGCCGCGAGCACCAGCAGCAGAAGCCGCGAGCTCATCATGCGCGCACATCCAACTGTCTCTCTCTCTGTGTCAAACACACACACACACACACACACAGTCGCTCTCAGCTGCAGGAAAGTTTATTCCAGAGGGGTTGAGTCACTTTGAACACCGCGCCAGCTGATCCCTTTTGACATTTAACGCCGTATCCGAAATCTCCAGAGTGGTAATGAAGTGTTCAAGTAAAAAAAAAATCGCATATTAATGAAATACTTGAAAGGAAGAAAAAAACTCCACTTCAGTTTAAAATATCAGCTTTAAATATCCAAGCAAAATATGTCCAGTGTGTTGACTCCAGAAAATAGCCCATGCGTAACTGTTCCAGCGCTGCAAGTGTGCACCTTTCCCTGGTAAGTAGGCAGCGGTTGTGCGCGTGCGATAGCGTGTTTCTCAGGTGCTTTAATGCCGCGCTGTGCACTTCGCTCTGGCTTCAGCCTTAAACAACAAGCCCCGCCCCCCTGCGCTCTGATTGGCTCTCGGCCCGCTCGAGGCTGGACTGACGCTTCCATATAAGGCAAGTGATTAGGAACGATTCTGCATGGATGAGGGTGGCTCTTCATACATGACCTGACATTCTCAAAGTGTGACTTTTATTTGAAGAAAGGCAACAGTTTTCCCACAGCCACCTGTTCTGTCTTGTTTCCCTGGAGGTTATGGCAAATAGTTGTGAACTGGGAAGTCACACTGCATTGGACAATCCAAACTGATGATGGTGGGTAACATAAATGCCTGAATCTCATGAAACCTGTCAAGAATGTGTCTGGGTTATATTTCACTCCAAAATAATACAAAAATGTTTATAATAATGTATTTTTCTTAAAGAAAATTAATCTTATTTTAGGACCATTATGATTTTTTTTTCGTATTAGACATTTGTGACATTATTTTCATAACAATTAAGCATGTTTCCTTCCCAAATTCTCATGACTAAAATCTGAAAATGTCTCATCTATTTCATTTGTAAAGTTTTTTTTTACAAAAAAGTGTTTTTGCACCATTAAAATGTGTTGTACTTCATTTAATGCTGATTTAAAAAAAAAAGAACAATTAGCAATAATTGTGACATCATTTTATACTTTATTTTGAGAAAATTGTTTTTATGAAACCAAAACCAAATCTTAAATGGGTCTAAAACCCGGATTCATTTTCTTTATGAAAGATTTTTTTCTTTTAATTTGGGATGAAATGTGATCTTTAAAATGAACTAATATACAATAATATCATATATATATATATATATATATATATATATATATATATATATATATACATATTGCATTATTATTAATAATAATACTAATACAAATAATAACATTTTTAAACATTTTTAAATGATTAAATATAAAATAAAATAAATAATATTATTACTATATAATAATAAAATAAAAGCTAATAATAATAACTTAATACTAATAACTATTATTATTAGTAGTAGGCTAGTATTAATAATAATGATAACACTATTATTATTATAATTTTTTTACATTTAATTAATCAAGGACGGATATAGATATGCATAGAAATGCATATATCATTTGATTTTGAAATATGACTCATACCCAATTTTGTCAAGCTTCGTGAGAGTCGTCCGATAAGATCCTGGGAAAACATTAGTTTGATGATGTGTGTTACCATATATATCTTTTTGAATATAAATATTGCCCAATAGAGAAAAGAAAAAGTGAAATGCATCGGCAAATCAACTGATTTCACAAGTTTTTTTTAGTTTCGGGATTTCCAGTTGAAAGATGACATCATAAAAACTGAAGTCATCTCCTGAGAGAACAAAGGCCCGATTACACTAAGATCAATAATAACTATAACCATAACTATATTAGCACACGATATCATTCTGAAATCCTCCACCCATCTCACTGCATGTACAGTGCTTGCCAGCTTTTCCTCTTTCAGGGAATATACATCACATATCCCGGCAGGTCAGAGGTCACTGGGACACGGCGGCCCCCCTCTGCTGCAGCAGCAGGAAGTGACACGGGCGTTTGAGCGTCTCTAGGGGGCTATTTATAAACCCGCTGACCTTTTCTGTCCACATGCAGCGAGTGGTTGACATGACACACGTTATTGTGAGCTGCAGATTACAGGTTACTGATCATCACCTGAACTGACACAAAAATTACAGTTCTGGACAATGGACAGATCAAGTGCAGCGCGATTCAGACATGAGAGAGGTGGAGAAGAAGAGAAACAACAGAGAATTTACCCAATGTTTATTTACACATGCCGTTTGCGTTGTTTTATTGCTTGCCCTTGTGAAAAAGAAGTGCGCTTAATTGTATTGAATGTGTACTTGTAGTACACTGTACTTGTAGTGCACATTCAAACACTTCAAAGTATATTTCAAAAACACTGTATCGCAAATAATATAATATCAATGAAATAAAAGGCCACTTAAGTGTACTTAAAGAATACACTTTCATGACTTGGTAACACTACTTTACAGTGTCCTTGTTACACATGTTACCTATAGTAATAACAGTAAATTATTAAGAATTAATACACTAAACCAAACCCTAACACTAAATCTATAACCCTAACCTGATAGTGAGGCTGTATGTACTTAATTATTATATAGGCCTAATGTATAAATATGTAATTACACTGTAACAAGGACACCTTAAAATAAAGTGTAACCCTGTTTCTTAACACACTTAAGCACACTTTTAGAAAGTGCACTTTGTAATAATGTCAAATTAAAAGTTTTCCTTTAAAGCACATTTGAAGTCATTTTAATATTTTGTGCTTTAAAGCAGTACACTTGCTTTTACGTGTTTACTTACATAATAACATTAATTCAATGTTACGTTTAAAGTTAATCTATTTTAAATGTACACAATTACAACTTCATAATTTCAAAGGTGTAATTACAAATATATTTCAATCAAGTTTCAATGGAAATAACATTAATGTTTATTTTAGTTTAGCATAAATGCTTTGTAAGTGCCTTTAGCAGTAACTTAACCAAATTTATAAGACAATTGGGAATAGGCATAATTATGAAATTACATATAAAGATGTACAGGTGAAAAAGTAATGGTAACTGAAGCCAATTTGCCTATAGAGAAACCTGACCCTGACTTCACCTCTGACCTCAGGTGACCTTCACTGGTTTATTGTCACCGAGGGGTTACAGTATTGCTGTAGTGTACTGTAAAGTAGTATATAGTCATGCAAAAACAAATATAAGGTGATGTCATTAAGATAAAAAACATCTGAAAAACAGTATTAGTCACTTGTGACACGCAATGTCAGCGTGTTCTGTCTGTGCTGTGCAGACAGTCAGACCTGGTGTGTGTGTCACTGCTCTCGGTGCAGATTATGTCCTGTCTGGTTGTCTGATTTGATTGATAAAGCCAATTTTCATCTTCCATTAGATGGCCAGCCAAAATTCCTGAATTCAGCGTGCAGGCTTTGAAGAACGGCTCCCGCCCCTCCCCGACCGCCCTCCACCCCGCCAGCCTTTCCTTCGGTCTCAACAGAGGTCACTGGAAGAATCCAAGTTTTTCAAGGAATTTTTCAGTGAAATCCAATCTGAGAGCAGAGGGAGGGTCTGCCGCAGAGCACAGATGCTGGAATAAGGCAGGATTCAGGACACAAATGTAACATTTATAGTTAATATATCATAATGAATACGACAAAGCACTATGAAAATGAAAATTAATTATGAATTATTAATCACCAAATTTATTACAAAAAATATTATAAGAAAATGTGAGTGGAGTTTACCACTGCAGGTCCTTTCTTCAATGGGAATTCATAATTTTTTTTCGGCAGGCAGAAATCTTAGATTAAATAAATAAATTAAAAAAATTAAAAATATGATAAAATAATTTTGTTGCTGTTATTAAATAAAAAGATAATAATAGTAATATTTTTATATTTTTATTTAACAACAACAATATTAGAAATAATATAAATTATAATTGTTATTATTAAATGATAAATATTATAATAAACAATACTACTACTACTGCTTCTACTATTATTATAAATTATTATTATGATTTATGTATTATTGTTGTTGTTATTAAACAAGATACTTATAATAATAATCATTATACATTTTTATTGTTGTTAAATTTTTATTTAATAGTATAACAATAATAATAATAATAGTAAATTATGATTGTTGGATTTATTAAATTATAAGATAATAATAAAATTATTAATAATAATATTGTTATATTTTAACAACAGCACTCAATAATAGTAATAATAATTATAATTATTATGATTATAAAATAAAATACTATAATAATAATAAGTTATTATAGTTGCTAAATAAAATAAAATAAATATTTTAAATACATTTTTAGGTATAATAACTATTAAATTAAAAGGTATAACAACAACAACAGAAATAGTAATAATTATTATTATTAAATAAAAATACAATAATAATAATAATTAGTAAAATAATTATTTTTACTAAACTGTTATAATTATAAAAGTTTTAAAAAGTAGTTGAATTTATTTTATTAGTGTATTTGTGGTGGGAACAGAATTGCAAATATCAAATACACACACATATATATATATATATATATATATATATATATATATATATATATATATATATATATATATATATATATTTTTTTTTTTTTTTTGAAGGATACAAGAACTGGTGTGGAATTTCAGGCTTGATCTCCTGATTGTCTGGGAGTTTTGGCTGAACAATGGCGAGCTCATGGCCTCCATGCTGTGAAGTTCGCTCTGCTTTCGTTCTCAACCCACTTCTTTTAAAACTGAAGGGTGGCAGGGGGAGCGGAGGGAGGGAGGGGGCCTGTCGAGAGAAACGGCAAACGGACGGGTGGGAGCGAGTGGGGGGGGGGGGGGGGGGGGGGGGGGGGCATCTGTTTGTGCATTGTATGTGTTTTCCCGAGTCAACAGCAGAGGAAATGAACGCAGCAGCTAAATATACAAACATCACAATGAGCTAGCGAATAGCAGCTGCACGCGGGAAGACTAATGCAATGAGTATAATAGCAGATGAAGACAGCCTGCGGATATGAGGATCTGGTAACGAGTGCGAACAGATAGATAGACGGATGGATAGTTTGATGATGTTGAACTGGAGGTCAAGGAGAGAGTGGAGAGCCAGGTGAATGAAACGCTATGCCATCGGTTGCTAACAGTGACACTGTGTTTAGGTGTTTGTATGTGATCATCATAGCAGCAGGT